GCGCCGGACAGCCGGCGTAAATGGCCACCGGGCGAGCTGGACGAAGGACGGCGAGAATAATTAGTCATTTATGAGACCGTAAGTGGGGCCGCAAATCGGTCCTTCGCGGAGGGACGACGACGATGTTGGGGACTCTGCGGGGACGACGACGGCGTTATCTTGAAATTATTAATCATATCGTAACGCGCGTCGCGCGAGAGACAGCCGAAGGGAGCGCGAGAAGGACGAGGAGAGACGAGAGACACAAGCTACCGGCTCCATGGACTTATCTGGCACCTTAATCAATTCCCAGTTATTAATTATGGCCTCTGCCCTTCCCCGGCCACCTTCCCCCTCCTCCTCCTCCTCCTCCTCCTCCTCCTCCACCTTTCTACGTCAGCCTCGCGGCGCACGCTTCCGAGACCCACGACGACGACGACGACGGCGACGACGACGGCACTATTGTCCGCGGTGTTACAATGCGGTGTCAACAGGATCGCGGTCACATTTTCCCCGAGCGTGATCATTAATAATTATTTACCGAAGTGCGAAAGTCAGGTCGGCAACGCGTGCGCCCGGTGGGCGCCGACGTCACGAGGGAGCATACATTCAGGTGCAATAAGCGTCGCACTCGTGAGCTTTGTCAAAGGAATGGAAAATGAATGTAGATCTTTCACGAATAAAATTTCATCTACATAGAGTAGCTTATCGCTAACATGTCGGATGTACAGCTACAGAAAAAATTTCCGGATTCAATGCTATTACACTTGAATGTATCATAAAATAGGATCGATATAGCGCCAATCATATTTATTATATGAGAAAGGAATATTTTAATCTGAAATGAAAAATTCTGGAACAAAATGATAGTATGTATCGTCCTTTGTCGAATAGCGTGGTGCCAACTTCGTGCGTTGTAAGACGGAGGGAAAATTTATTCTAAACGCAAGAATATATAAAGTTACTCTTGTCGCAATATAGTAAGTAAATTTTTTTTAATTCGATAGAGAAGAATAAGAATTATTGATTTTATTTTGATATTGTCTTATTTTTATACTAAATGAGGTTGTGAGAAATATAAATGCGTCAAGAATATTTTTGTCTCTGTAACAGACATCCTTTCTGTTTAAAAAATTGAATGATTTTAATATTCGTCACTAATTTGTAAAACTTTAGTATGTCATTAAAAAACGGCATATTTCTAGCCGGCTTTGTACAATATAAAATTGAGTGTCCCGCTTATTGCTTCGTAATTAATTATATCTTTATGCCCAATGTGCATCGAAGAGGGTAGTTTAAAATGCATCTCGAATGAAGGATTAGTAACGTTATAATCAACAGTTCCCATCTCACGGCTCATCTACGAAGTGTAGGTTTTTAAATCACCAATGTCGGGGAATATCCACGCGCCAAAAGAAAGAATGAGTGGCGTCAAGTGGAAGTTGAATGATCGTTTATGCAAATCCTAATCCTTTCGAAGATCCATCCGAGCGACGTTGACGGATTGGCGGGGGACTTTGTTTGAAGCTAGTTAAACGGATTGCAATTCTCGCCACCATTTGTTCTCCTAAGGGCGCGAAAGCTTCCAGCGCGCCCGATTAGCGAGTCTTACTTAATTATCGATAAAAGGGGTAGTATAGGAAGTAAACGAGTGCCCGTCACAAGAGAAATAAGACTTCTATACTTTTCGAAAATAGAGAGGAATTGAGAAAAGTAAGAAAGATTACATGTTTGCCACCAAACTGCTTCTCTATGGTTTTAGACAAACAAAATGACCTTTTGAAATTACTCAAATATGATAATGCGCGATGAAAAAAAATTAAAACGCTTTCTGTGCATGTGATCCTAGAATAGTATAACTATAGAAAATTTAATATGCAAGATATATATATATATATATAATAATAATTTTATATTCCAAGTATTGCAAAAAACACACTATGCGCGTACTGTATAATATAACTATGTGTAATGGAAGCAACGAACTATGGAGTTTTGTTCGAAAAATACAAAGAACGATTATACTGGCAGTGGCGGCGCAAAAAAAGGGCGGCATGCCCGACCTGCTGAAAAATTAATCACCGACGTCACAAAGGAGTTGGTCGAAGACAATGCCAGCGGTCCGGAAAAATATTTTTCACATTTTCTCTCCCTCGGTTAATAGCAAATTCTCGATAATGGATCATGGACACTCGCGATCTCAAGAAGTGGGGACGAGGTAGCGAATTATCGTTTTTCCACGTGTCTCTCTCCGAGCCAAAATGGGATAGAATGGAATTTTTTAACTCTTGTACGAACGCCAGAATGAATTATTTTCCAAGGCAACGTTTAAGAATTTATCACGTAGAAGTGTAACAATCTATACTCATCTGTATCGCACGAAACGAAGAACGGTTACAGCATATCCTCCTTCTTACTCGTGCAGCTGCTTGTTTAATACGGGGACCCGACCACTTATTTCGTGGTTTTCATACCCCTTTGCGTACCATGTACACCGAAATCGCGCGTGACACGACAAACGTGTAATCCGCGAGAAGGGTTGATCCCGGTTTAGCTCGCACACCGTTGAATCCACGAGATTTAAGCCCCGGCGAATTTGAATCTGTCAATCCGAAGTGTCCAGCCGACGTGTCGCGCCGCGCGAGAGAATGTATAATAAGGGAGGGCACAGATAATGCCGTTCTGGATGTTAAAAGACTTTTTTTCACTGTCGGAAGGATCTCGCTCGTATTTACGAGATCATATTCGAGCAGAGTGTCGCGTCACAAAATCTACTAATACTCCTCTAAAATATTTAGAGAAAAGATCTTTTTTGTGTGAAAGACGCGCGGTGATAAAAGCGGTGAGACTGTGCCTCTAATTTTCACTCTGCGATTAAAAAAAGAAACGAAGAGCAAAGAACAGCTGCATAACGTATCTTTCTATGACCAAAAGAAATTTTAACTTTTTCTTTGCGCTCAGATAATTAATATTAAGTTGGCTGTACGGATCCAATTAAATAATAAATTTTGCAGTTCGTAAAACATCGTACAGGCATCTGGAGTATTTAGCTGCATGTTTTATTAAACTCGCAGGTATTTTGGATCAACCGGCCGAGAGCAAGAACGAAAAGAGCTCGGATTTATTCCCGACGAGGGCGCGCGTACTTGACAAGTGCGTGCCTTTGGGACGTTCTCCCTGGGTGAAGTGTAGATTAGGGCGAGACGGACACCAGAAAAGTGGAAACTCGAGGAAGATCGAGCGAGAGTCCAAATTGCATTTACGGTCTTGACCGTGGAAGAAGGCGAAACGATATTAAGACACCGGTGGCCCTTCGTCGGGGGTCGATGTATCATTTGCCGGCGGGTCGTTAAGCGGTTTCAATTAGTTTTCTCCCGTGCCGGCTCTCCCCCGCAGCCACACGAGCGAGGGACGAGGGAGTGAGAAAGAGAGAGCGAGAGAGAGGAGCTCGCCACCGCCATCCAGCTTAATCGCGCGGTCCAGTTTTTTCTCATAATTAGGAAAAGCTCGTTAATACATCCCGGATATATCTACCCTTCCCGTTCACCCACCCTTTCCAACGTTTACGACAACCGGTTTCGACCACGGTCGACGAGCGCGAGATCGAGCGCTCGTCACTGCGTTTCTCGCAAAAATCTCGCGATCATAGGAGGAGAGTCGAGGCAAAAATTCGCGCTCGAGACACAGGAGAGAATTCACGAGATTATTTGAAAAAGAGCGTGAATATACGTGAAATAATTATACAGGGCAGGTTAAACTGTGATTCAATAAAGCATTACATATTCTCTGAACGCATCAACATGTTAGAATTGAAAAGTTTATCTTAGAATTCAAGCAAATCTGAAATTGAAGAAAACTCGATCTCTCCTTTAATTTTACCTAGCAAACATTTGATACTAATTTTGCGCCCGAGTATTTGAAAAAGAAAGCATAAATAGATAGTTGTATAAACAGGTTAAATTACAATTTGGGGAAACATTAGATATCCTCTAGACAGGCCCAAATATATAAATATATTGTTTCTATAAAAAAAGGTTCACGCGAACATACTATAAACAATATGCAAAGAATCCACGTATGTAATCTTGAAATTTAGCGCACAGCTGTTTCTAGACGCATCAATGTGTTTAAATTAAAGAGCATTTGATCCATTTTTTCTCGATACGCACTAATTTTATCTCAATGGCATTTTCTATTTACGTTAACAAATTTTGAAGTACTTTCTCACATCTTATCCACCGATGTTTTAGGGGGGAAAAAAACATCGAAGAAACATTACGTAAAGGGCGATTGAAAATGACGCGCACGCAATTTTCGAGACAACTAGCGCCATCTCAACTGCTACATACGAACGCAGACAAAAAATAGTCCGATCGTTAGTTACCGACAGCCAAGTGATATAACGTCGAATCTAATTGGTATATCGACAGCATCATTGTAACCACCAAATGGTAACTCATCTCGGGAGATTTACTTTGTGTATAGTAGCTTTCCCTTCTTTTTTTCACGATAAATAACCTAACGGTTGACGGAGTTTTTTGACGCCCCCCCCCCGCAGAGGGGGAATTTAAAAAAAAAGCTTTCCCTTTTCGTCAAAATCCGGAATTATAGAGGAAAGTCCTCTATTATGAGATAAGTTTCTAATATGAGATAGCAGTTTTTCAACACCCAAATTCAATCACAAATCTTTTTTCGTAACGATTATACAATCTAACAATAAATTCACCACTAAACAGATTTCGCTCCAAGGGCAATCAATTACATGGTGGAATCAGCTGATGATGCCTACTAATTTAACAGGAACCCCGCTATCCCATATTAGGATCCTATCTCATAATAGAGGGCTCTCCTCTATTAAAATTAATTCATAAAACTCGTATCATTCTTTTATTAAAATTAATCCATAAAACCGTAAAACTCGTAACTTTAATAACAAAATAATAAAATAATATATTGTCCACATGTAGCATGTTCGAGAATGCAATTACTTATTTTGTGAAATAAATAGAATTGAAACTCACCGAATGAAGGAGCGCCAACTGTCCAGAAAGCTTTTCTCAACGATGTAGAAGGATTTCTCGGGATCAGTGCACTTGGAGATTTCATTCCTATTCCTTCCGTAGTACAAGTCGGTGAGCTTGTCTTTCTGCTGCTTCGCCTTTATCTTGTCGTCTTTCTTCGCTCTTTGCGCACTTTCCATCCTCTCCTGAGAATCAACAATACACAGATGTAATTGAAAGACACCTAAAAAACATTCCAATAATTTATTCGCACATGTGAGAGACTTATCCACCTCGCAGATCGAACAGGACGGCGAGCCAACGGGATATTCCTTCGAGTCCGGAAAATATTTCTTCAGAATCAACCATGCCTCTTGGGGTATCACTTTCCTACTGGAGTCTGCCGTTTTCAGAGATTTATGCTCGCACAGCAAGTCCTCGTTGAAGTTTATAATAGCCTCATTCTCCTTGTTCTCCTCAACTTCCTTCGGGCAATCGTTGCTGTCTTTGTCCGTGTTCTTACTCTCTTCCGGCGGAGTATCCTGACAATCGTCTACCTTTTGTTCCACATCCTCTTGAAACGTTTCCATGGCTAATCTTCGCCAAGAACGCAGCGAATCGGTACCGATTATATAGCTCGATTCAACACTAAAGCGACAGAAATATCGATTATTCTCGTTAGTGTTTATCGCATCACTTTTCTTTGATCGTGGCAAATTTTTAACAATTACAAGGAACTTACGGTTCTTTAAACGTGCGAATCAACTCCCCGACTTCTTTGTAATCTCGCTCAAGCGCTAATTTGAAACGCAGCAATTTGCAGCGTCTTTTCACGCAAACTTCGCACAAGAATGTCTGATCTAATCGCGGACCTCCTTGATATCTGTCGTAAAGCATATGGGCTGCTGCTTCCGGCACGCATTTCATACGGCTAACTTTCAATGGATCGAGCCGATAGTGCGAACACATTAAACTGGTATTGTCGATCGGACGAACGTCGACTGCAGAGGAATGTCCGGTCAACCACTTCGACAGCCAATCCGTTGGTATCCAATAATAATCACTCCAAGATACCGTAGATTGGATTATATTATACACGTCTATTATAAGTTGCCGTTTGGAATTCTGATCCTCAATTTCTTTTTGCTGAGAAGGAGAGATAACTTAGCAAACATAACAAAAGTATAATAATTTCAGAATTATTTACACGCAATACAGTCGGTATCTGCTTACTTTTTCTTGCTGTACGGCTAACAAGCTCAATTCGTGTTTAACGTTCTCTTGTCTGACAAGTTCACGCATCGTGCTGCTTACCTGCCAATTCTCAAATTCCATCTACAGAGAGAGAGAGAAAAAAACACGTTTTATCAAACACGTTACACGAAAAGTCTGGGGGGGGGGGGGTCAAAAAGGATTTATATCTAGAGAAATCTTACCTCTTCATAAAAATCACGTTCTCCGCAACTCATAGCTCTGTGCGCATCGCCGTTCAGTCGTTTGTAATCGAGCTTAACAACTTTTACTACTGGCTGTTTTAGACAGTGAACTTTATTCTGTAACGGCTCCACGGTAGAGTCATGTGTGTCTTTACAGCCATTTGTGCTAGCGACAGTCTTTGTAGTTTCACTCTTAATTTCACTCTTATCCGTGATAGGTGTATCAGTCTTTTTGGATATCGCAGATTCATCCGTTTCTATGATATTTACTATGGTATTTTCCGCATCCACACTCGGCGTCTTTTTAGAGTTTTCTTCCGGAATTAATGGCGCATCTTCGACGTCCCGCTTCTGTCTCGTCTCGTCCGTTTCATCCGATTTTTCTTTAATTGTGAACTTGTCGAAGAAAACGGTCTCGCTAGAGACAATCACCTCTGCATCGGGCTTCTTCAATTTCACTTTCTTCGTACCATTCGTTCGCCAATCTGTAGTTAGCTTTTTATAAACCAACATGTAAGCCGTATTGGATGACAGGAATCCTTTTGGAACACGTCCACGTTTCATCGATTTATCTATGTATATATATATATAGATATAAAAGGAAAAATTAACTTTCTGCCTTCTCGCACATGGGAAAAATCATAAATTTTCTCCTTCTTAAACACGGAGTATTTGATGGAAAAGTAAATTACCATTGACGCCATCCTCGATTCGTTTGTTCTGCATTTTTTCAACTTTATCATCACTAAATTGATACCACTCGCCGCTTGAATTACATATATTCGCGATGTAATGTCCGGAATGTGCGGATGGACCCTTGTGGCTCAATACAGCGACGAGACTGTAGAGATGAGTTTGAGGCTGACACCTAACGTATTCCGACATATCGAGGTCTTCGGGAAACTGAATATACGAATTCAACTTCTTCTTCTGCCCGGAATCTCTGTTGTGAGTAACTGCGCCATTATTTCGGACAAATCAAACTTGTTGTCTAGCGTAAAACTCACAAAAGCCCAGGACTCACCTGTGGAACACGAAGCGCATTAGCTGAATATTCAACGTTTCCGGAAGAGACTCCAGTCGTATGAATCGCTTGGCGTCCTTTTTATCATTGCAAGTAACGCAATGGTATTGGTTTGCCCCCGTCAGCTGTTCCTCCGATAGATAATTATCGATCGCCTCTCTCAAAGTGGCCGCCAGCTGCAGATCCAATTCATAGAACGTGGTGGACGTTGGATACTCAGTGCTGCACGTGGAGCAACTGCATCAGACATAAAATTCTCGTTATCGACTAAAAAGTCACCCCTCTCTCCGCCGGATCAGTTGGTCGCGCCAGTCATTGTAACGAGCAACGTGTCCTACCATGTTGCCATCGTCAAGATCATCAGCACCATCATCGCTTAGGAAAATTCTCATTGTTCCACTTCAGAAAACCCACCGATTGATATAGCTGTATTTTCCCTGAGTCAGCCTCTGCAGCATCGGCTTCAGCTCAGAGTTTTGCTCTCTGAGCTTTCCTTCGATATGGCACAATAGCAGCTTGGAGAATTCCTGCGCGTCTTGCTGCGTTCTGGTGTCCAGGGACAACGCGATAGCGAGATTGATCGGATCGAGGAGGCTCCGATTGCCGAATTGCATCATTGCAAAAATGTACTGCAATTGGCCAACCGCGGTAACCGGGTGGTAGGGTATTCCTGCTTTCTTAGACTGGTACAACGCCTCCTTCTCCTCCGGATCTTCCGTAATGTCCCATTTGTATATTATTCTCCTGTTGGCATACAGTTTGTTAAGACAACGGACAGTGCGCCGCACAAAAGATTCCGTTTCAATCAACACGTACCTCATGTCTTCATTGTGGAACCACATTTGGATTAAACTATTGACGTAGCAAGTAGCACCTAGATTCTTTAAGCCGACATACTGTGTCGGATCACGTAACTCGGATAAGGAACTTTCTAAGGACACCACCTCGGCCGGCTGCGACTTCATATACTTTTCCTCCCCTAAGCCTGTCAGGCATTGCGGATTGTAGGTGCAATTGCGTCTGAAACCGATTAACGTGTCTTAATGAAAATACACATTTACGGTAAACGTCCCAGCCGACACGTTCGAATGTTCTTTCGCACTGCAGAACACCATTTCCAACCTACTTGCAATTTTTGCAGCTCTTCAATCCGATCCTATACGCAGTCTCCAAGTGTACCTTCTCAATCTCCTCTGGACTAACGGATTCTACCCAGGCCCATGCTAACTTGTCCAGGTCCCCCTTCTTTGTCGGCGGCATGTCTGCAATATATGGAGCATTCGGTTATCCATCGAAAAAGCTAATCACACAGTTGCGCGATATCTGCACGCGCGGTACGACAAACGCTCGCAAGGTACACCAAGAAAATCGTAAGGCAACTCGTCTTCACGTCACCAGCGATGAATTAACGCATTGAAACAAATTCTTTCAATGCAAAGCCGCACAATTTCCCCCCCCCCCCCCCCAAGGTGTACCCGGCGCATTCGAACCCTAGAAACGCCCGATTCCAACGGAATCTGCCCGCGCCCGGACAAATGAAGATATTACTCGCGTTCTCTCGACCTGTTACAAACTTCGCCGTGCGCTCCGCCGCGCTGCCCCGCGCGGAACGTTCGCGCCAACGGCCGAGAAGAGGAGGAGGCAGAGGAGAAGACTCTCGTCGAGTCACACACGTGCTCGTGCTCGGTCCTCGGCAGGCCCGTGATTTTTTCGCGCCATAACAGCGAGGGAAGCGGAAAGGACTTGTCACTCGGGGACGGCGCCGGGAGTAAGGGGACAAGGGGGGGGGGGGGGCGCGGGATCGCGCGAGCGACGACGCTCTGGAACCGGCCCGCGTCATCGGGGCGCCCGGCCTCCGGGGAAGCGACGGCGTTACCACCTTAGCTGCCTTACCTCCGCACGATCGCGATCGGCTCTAGGTTATGGAGAGACACCGCCGCGCGCTACTCCCGCGGCATTATCCCCGCGGCACGTCCCGGCGGCCGCGCGCGGATGTCGGAGTACCCTCGAGCTCTCTCTCGCCGCCGCCAAAGTGCGCCGCCGTGGGCCCCGCGGCGATCGCCACGGTGGCGAGTACGCGGACGGGAAAAGAAAAAAAAAAGAGAGAGGGAGAGCGAACTCCGCGAACGCCTTCGCTCGCCTCGTCTTCGGACAAGCGCGATCGGACGGCGCGCTCTCTCTCTCTCTCTCTCTCTCTCTCTCTCT